TCCCCTCTTTTTGGGGAAAATTAAGACATTTTTCTGCTTTTAATTTTCTGATACTTTGCATATTCTTCATCATCTCTTCAAAATCACCAAATTCTTTGAGCATAATTGCAAATTCTTTCTTTTTTGTGCATATTTTTTTATTTATATATGACAGTGGAATGCATTGCAATTCTTATTACACATACAGAGCACAATTTTTCATATCTCCAGTTGTATACAAAGTATATTCACACCAATTCGTGTCTTCATACCTGTACTTTGGATAATGATCATCACGCTCCACCATCATTAATAACTCCATGCCCCCTCCCTTCCCTCCAACCCCTCTGCCCTATCTAGAGTTTGTCTATTCCTCCCATACTCCCTCTCTGTATTCTACTATGAATCAGCCTCCTTATATCAAAGAAAACATTCGGCATTTTTTTGGGGGGGATTAGCTACTTCACTTAGCATTGTCTTCTCCAATTCCATCCATTTACCTGCAAATGCCATGATTTTATTCTCTTTTATTGCTGAGAAACATTCCATTGTGTATATATGCCACATTTTTTTTATCCATTTATCTATTGAAGGGCATCCAGGTTGGTTCCACATTTAGCTATTGTGAATTGTGCTGCTATAAACATTAATGTGGCTGTGTCCCTATAGTATGCTGTTTTTTAAGTCCTTTGGGTATAGACCAAGGAGAGGGATAGCTGGGTCAAATGATGGTTCCATTCCCAATTTTCCAAGAAATCTCCATACTGCTTTCCATATTGGTTGCACCAATTTGCAATTCCACCAGCAGTGTATGAGTGTACCTTTTCCCCCACATCCTGGCCAACACTTATTGTTGTTTGTCTTCATAATAGCTGCCATTCTGATTGGAGTGAGATGAAATCTTAGAGTGGTTTTGATTTGCATTTCTCCAATTGCTAGGGATAATGAACATTTTTTCATATATTTGTTGATTGATTGTATAACATCTTCTGAGAAGTGTCTTTCCAGATCTTTGCTGAACTTTTGCAGGACCTGGGCTCTGGGGATGGGGACATCAGATTGCTCTACCTAAGTTATTTTGGGGGGTGGGGGATGGGGGTAAATTGAACCCAGGACCTCCTATATACCAGGCAGGCATTAAATCCTCAGCCTTTTTTATTTTGAGATAAGGTTTGGCTAAATAGTCCAGGCAGACCTCAAATTTGGATCCTCCTGCCTTAGCTTCCCCAGTAGCTTGGATTATAGGTATGTACTAGAGCACCCAGATCTCCTTTGGGTTTTAATCCCTTCTCAAACAGGGTGGGGTTATAATAATAATAATAGAATATTTTCTTTAAGAGAAAAGAAGGAAGCAAAATAATAGCAGAGTAGTTCTTCTTTCTATTAATGTTGCAGCAACAGCCCCAAGCAGTGGGCCTATCACTTCCTGATTCTTTGTTTTGTTCTAATCATACCTAAAAATTCTCCTTTATTATCCCAAGCCCACTCCAGTTTTTGACCCTTTGTACTATCCATAAAACTTGTTTCTACGTTGCATGTGAGCCCCTGTCCTTTTCCCCTATTAAACACTATATTTAAGTGATAATATTTAAAGTTTTAAAACACAACTATATTATCAAGCATTTGTATAAGAAAATATTGATCATAGCTTGAGATTACTAACCTGAGTGCTATGAATAATGAACAGGTTTGTACACTGACCAGCATACACAGGGGGAAAAACACAGAGGGATTCATGGTGGCTACTTGTTCTCCCTCTCTCATGTTTACTATAGTTGTTTTTGCCCTTGTGTTCCTTTAGCTTATTTCTACTTTGTTTTCTTTTTAGCATCCATTTTTCTTTTTAAATTATTGCACTGGGACTAATTACAGAATTATGGAAATTTAAAAAATCAGAGGCCATTTGGTGTTGGAAGAGTGAATTGTTTCTTTCTTTTTTAATTTTATAGAAATACAATTCATATACCAAAAAATGCACCCTTAAAATGCTATAGTCTTGGGCTGGGTATATAGCTCAGAGACAGAGCACTTGCCTAGCATGGATGAGGTCCTGGGTTCCATCCCCAGCACCATAAAACAAAACAAAACAAAACCCCCTCAAGTTGTACAACTAACACATTATCCAATTTCAGAACATTTTCATCACTTTAAGAAGAAGCCCAGTAATAGTCTTCCTTCATTCCTTTTGTAAGCTGGATATTCAATTGTCCCAGCACCACTTGTTGAAAAGACTATTCCTTCCCCTACTGAATTGTCAAATTGTTTTTGACAAATTTCCCCTTATCAAAAACCAACTGACCATAAACGTGAAGGTTTGGTCTTGGACACTCAATTGCATACCATTGGTCTAGCTGTCTACCCTTCTGCCAGTGTTGAATGTATTGTTTGCATGGCTATACAGTAAGTTTTGAATCAGAAAGTATGAGTTCTCCAAACTTTGTTTTTTCAAGACTGTTTTACAGTTTTGGCTATCCTGGGTACATAAGAATTATAGAATCAGCCTGACAATTTCTGATCAAAAAACAATAACAAAAAAAGTGAATTACATTCTTAATAGAAAATGTGTTGAGACTATGAATAAATTTTGGGGAGTATTGCCATCTTAACAACATGTCTTCTAATCCAATGATACAGGATGTTTTTCCATTTATTTAGGTCTTCCTTAATCTCTTCCAATAACATTACATAGTTTTCAACGTAGAAGTCTTGGTTGCTACTGTAAATGGAATTGCTTTCATTTTCCTTTGGGATTATCACCCCTGAGGTACTTCTTCAGTCCCCCATCTGAATCAAATTCATGTATCCTGTGGCCTCACCATGCTTCCTGTCCACACTGATTTTCTGAACCTCTCAGGTCCACCTTACATCCATTGCCTAAGGACAAAGCCACTTAATTCAGGGAAGGTTTCAAGCACACTGGCTTCTTTTCAGGTGATTCTTCCCTCATCTATGGCCTGCATAGGGCTCCAGTACCTACTGAGAAGTAGTCAATTTTTTTTTTTAATATTTATTTTTCAGTTATCGGCGGACACAACATCTTTGTTTGTATGTGGTGTTGAGGATCGAACCCAGGCCGCACGCATGCCAGGCGAGCACGCTACCACTTGAGCCACATCCCCAGCCCCAGAAGTAGTCAATTTGGATGTGGTTGCTAGGAGTTGAATCTCAGAACCCTTCTTAAAACTATACTTAGCTATTCCACAAAGTTTCCCCTAGATAATGAAACTCTTATAAGAATATAATGAAATAGTAATTTGGGGGGAAAAACTGATCCTTGTTCCCATGAATTGAGTTGTGTTCCCCTACATCAGGTCTGCTTATTAATCAGGCTGTGGGAGTGGAGAGAGGGCTGCATTGCTTCCAGGTTGGGACTCCCTAATTACACACAAGCACAACAGCAGACAAACAGGAAGAAGTGCCTGGGGTGCTGTGGACATGCCACTACTAAATTATATCAGTGTTATGCTCTTATTCAATGTATGCTCAAAAAAAAAAAAAATCCTCCTCCCACTCTTGTACAACTTGGTTGTAATACTTTATTATCCCAGCACTTTATAAACTGGTATTACTAAGACCTCAAATGTACCATCTGTTTGTCATCTTTGGAAGAGCCAGTTACTGTAATATATTGATAGTTCATTTCTGAGTATCTGGGATAACATATTTAATAATATGTTCACTTTACTAATAAACACCAAATAAAATAATTTTAACCTTATTTTCTTCAGTCTTCCTTCATAGTCAATTTACTGTCTAAAATTAAATTCCAGTACACAGTGTACTTGATTTGTGAGTTCATTCACAATGTATTTGCAGGCCTAGATTTAACATATTTCCTATAGTGACAACTACTTTATTTGTAGAAACTATGTAGGTCACTGGAGTGGAGAAAAAGAGGTCACTACTTAACAGAAATGGCATGTGTCCAAATATAGATGCAATTTTCTAAACACCTGTTGATCATCAAATGATGAAGAGACTGTTAAAATTTCCAAAACCCTGGACGCAAAGCTTAAATGATCAGTCACTTTATTTCAATTGATATGGAGTTTGACCCAGAAAAACAAGTCTTACCAAAAAAAAAAAAAAAAAAAAAAAAAGAAGAAGAAGCTTTAATAAGCTGGCTGCTTTAGAAATAAAATGATTTTAAAAGCAATCAGCTTCAATGTAAATTATTTCTCATCAAGTTACTCAGAGGAAGCTATAAGATTTGAACCACAGGGCAAGCACAGCAATAGCTTCCGGAGACACAGTAAGCAGAACAAATATTTTCAGTTGTCAAGGGTGAGCGGGAAGGGAATGATCCACCTAAGAAATGGAAACTAACAAATAGTAACTTGACACTCCCCCTTAGTTACACAGACTGGTGAGGCTGCTACACACAGCTAACTTCCTACCGTCGGGTAAAGAGGCTGTGCAAAAGCTGAACGAAGGCTGGACTCCGCGAGGGTGGAACAGATAAGGGCTTCAGGGGACCGGGGCTTGGGCAATACCCTCTAATGTTGTGTTCATTCATTCATTAAAGCTATGAGCCAGTCCCGTGCTAGGAACTTACCCGTCCAAATCTGACTCCATGGCCCATTCTGAATCCCACACCTCTGTCTCCATTTCCAGCCCTAGGCATCACTCCCTTATCAAGAAGATGCTTATTATATCGTCGCAATCCTTCCCTTTCCTGGGCCCCCAGGCAAGGGTGACAGAATTCAGCCAGCCAGAGGAACGCCTTTTCAACAGCAAGGAAGATGGACTCGAGCACGCAGGAGATGGGTTCCAGGGCCCCAGGCCGTGTGAGGAGAGCAAGCTCGGACTTTAGGCGACCTCGCCCGGAGATGGAGCTGAGAGCACCGTGCTCCGAGGGGTACTGAGGTCAGATCGATACCGAAGGGGGAAGAAGTGGCGAGGGAGGAAGAGGCACCACAGGTTGCGGGAGGGCGATGGGAAGCTGGTGACCACAGGCGCACGTGGGGAGGACCCGCCCAGGTGGTGGGGGAAGGGGCTCTGGCAGGGGCGAGGAGGATTACCTGATGAAGGTGGTCTTGCCAGTGCTGTACTGGCCCACCAGCAGGATCATGGGCTTGTTTTCGAAATCTGCGTCCTCCAGCGCAGGCGAGTGGAACTCGTGGAAACGGTACGCCTCCTCCAGGGGCAACACCTTGCGCAGGTAGAGCGAGCGCAGGCCTCCGGTCACTGTCTGCACAGCGTCCGTGCCGCCCGAGCGCTCGCGCCCACCGGCTTGCCGCCCCATCCAGCTGAACATCCTGTAGCTCGTTAACGTTCCACGCTCACAACCAGCTTGGGGTTAGACCCTCGGTTCGCACTGAGCCGCCACAGCCGCACTCGCCGCAGCCCCGGCCTGGCCCCGCCTCGCCCCGCTACAGCCAATCTCCGGGCGATACGTCACGGGCGTACGTTCATTATTCAGAAGAACTCTCTCAGGTCCTTCCTCATTGGGTCTCTGCCAGAGAGGGTGGAGGCATTAGCCAATGGGGAGGAGGCTCTTAATGAATTATTGATGACCAAGTCCTTCTTGAGGGCTGGGCGGGGAGAGGATGCAGCCTGGGCTGAGACGCGTCATCCGAAGGGCCTACTCTGTCACCGGGGCCCCACCTCTGGCCAGGTGGCGTAGGCTTCCGGGCAAATCTGAACTGGCAAGGACTAGCCTCTGGAGACAGCTCTGTCTCCTAAGACGTTACTCTTTCCAAGCCTTTGGATGTTGATACTGAGGACGAAAAATTCAGAAAGCTGATGAGCAGGGTTTTTACTTGCCGCCGGCAGGTTACTCTAACCCTGTTTTACTGGTGAAGATAATTGACATAACTGACAAAAATTGAAGGAGGGAAAGTGGACTTCAATCTATTTGGGTAGATATTTCTTCTACTTCGCCACTCTGCCTCCGTTAATTGTTAATTGTCAATCGATGGCCATTTTCCTTTAGTTTTCTATAAAACCGAAGATTCAGTAAATTTTTTTTTTTTTGTAAAATCGAAGGTTCAGACATCACCCTCATTATTACAGTATCCTCATTATTACAATCTAATTTCAACATACTGACATACAAGACACTTTTGTCCCTTCCTAGCTGTCTCTTTTCTAGATTAAAAGGACACTTACCTAAATAGGGATTGAGAAAAATAATCAGTATCACCTTTAATATCCTAGGTTATGGTTTAAGAATATTTCTCAGTTGTTTTAGATGATTTCTTAAGTGTAATCAACAGGGTCATCTATATAAGAATAACCCGAGATGCTTGTTAAAATGCAGATTCACAGTCCACAGTCCAGACCTACTGAGTTAAAATATTGAGGAGAGAGGGAGTTCAACAAGTGCCCAGACTATTCTGATATACTCTAAATTTGGGAAAATATGATGTTCTGCATTACTTATCCCCCACTCCCATGGTGAGGATCAACCCAGGACCTTAGGCATGCTAGGCAAGCACTCTACCACTGAGCTACACTCTCAGCTCCTATATTACTTTTTTTTTTTTTTTTTTTTTTTTAGTTATAGGTGGACACGATGTCTTTATTTTTTGCTTTATGTGGTGCTGAGGATCAAACCCAGTGCCTCACACATGCTAGGTGAGCACTCTACTTCTGAGCCATAACCCCAGCCCCCTACATTACTTCTTGAACTTGATAGAAATTCAGATTCAGTAGGTATGGGGTAGGGCCTAAGACTGCATCTCTAACAAGCTCCCAGATTTTGCCAGTGCTGCACATAAACATTTATAATAGCTTTATTAATAATTGCCAAAATTTGGAAGCAACAAGATATACTTCAATAGGAGTATGGATAAATACATTGTTATATATCTAGACAGAAAACTATTAGGGATATTAAGAAAATTTAGCAAGATTTCTGGATTCAAGATACACATACAGCGGGGCACAATGCTGCATGTCTGTAATCCCAATGGTTTGGGAGGCTGAGGCAGGAGGATCTCGAGTTCCAAGCCAGCCTCAACAACTTAGCAGGGCCTTAAGTAACTCAACACGACCCTGTCTCTAAATAAAATATAGAAAAGAGCTGGAGATCTGGCTCAGTGGTTAAGTGTCCCTGGGTTCAAGTCCCAGTATAAAAAAAAAAGTACAAAAACCATCTATATTTTTATATATTAGAAACAACTGGACATTGAAATGAAAAATTAATATCACTTGCCAAAACAACAAAACTGTGAAATACTTAGTAATAAGCCTAATAAAAACAGGTATACCTATGTATAGAGAACCACAAAACATTCTTAAGAGAAATAAAAAGGCCTAAATACATGGTATTGAAGATTCAATATTGTTAAGATGTTAGTTTTAACCAAATTGATGTATAGATTCAGTGCAATAAAAATCCTAGCAATTTTTAATTTAGTAGAAATTGACAAAATGATTTTAAATTTCATATGTAGATGCTAAGGACTTACAACATCCAAAACAATTTTGAAAATAAAAAAATAACATAATTGAAGGGCTTATACTATCTCAAGACTAATCAAGATACAGAAATCAAGATAATGCAGTAACTGATAGAAAGATATTCTAATATGTCATGCATCACTAATGATGTTTTGGTCAACAACAGGCCACGTATCACAAGAGTGCTCTCATAAGATTATATCATATAGTGACAGCATAGCCATCTTAGTTTGAATTGAAGAGCTCAGGGTATATCTCAGTGGTAGAGCATATGCTTAGCATTTAAGAGCCTGTATTCCATTCCCAACACCAAAACAAAACAAAAATATCACTAGAACAATAGGATATCTGTATACAAAAATTCAAGTTTTTATCCATACCTCACACTATGTGCAAAAATTAACTCAAAATGAACACTAGGCTTAAACGTAAAGTTTAAAATCATAAAAAATTTTTGAAGAAGACATAGGAGAAAATTTGTGTGACTTTGAGTTAAGGAAGGACTTTTTAGGGGACTGGGGATGTAGTTCAGTTGGTACAGCACTTGCCTCATATGCTCAAAACCCTGGATTCAGTCCCCAGCAACACACATGCATGCACGCACACACATAAATTTCTAGATAACACTGAAAGCATAATTCATACAAAGAAAAAATTTGATAAATTGTACTTCATCAAAATTAATTCTGACCTTTGAAAGGACTATTAAGATAATGGAAAGACAAGGTGAAGACTTATAGAATATATTTATAAATCACATATCTGATTAATAATTTGTACCCAGAATATATAAAGACATTTTAAAATTTAATAAGAAAGCAAACAATCCATTTTTTTTAAATGGGAAAAAGATTTCAAGAGATACTTCACAAAAGAAGATATATAGTGGGCAAAGAAGCTCATGAAAAAATGTTTAACATCACTAGTCATTGGGAAAATGCAAAGTGTGTGTGTGTGTGTGTGTGTATTTTGAAAAGGAAGGAAATGGTACAATAGTTTGGCAGTTTCTTAAAAAGTTAAACACACACATACCACTTGACCCAGCAGGACAGAGCTAAAGAAGGATCTCAAAGGACATGAGAAAGCTTTTCTGGTGAAGGTTTTATTCATTACCTTGATTATGGTGATGATTTCACAGTTGTATACATATGTCAAAATTCACCAGATTATGTACTTTAGGTATATGAAGTTGATTATATGTCAATTAGACCTTTATTAGTTGTTAAAAATACTTATAATTTTGACTTGGAAATTTACCCTGAAGAAATTTATCTTGAGAAATAGGAAATGTAAAGCTTTATCCAAGAGGCTGTTTATCAGCATATCATTTATAATAACAAAAAGCTGTAACTAGTTGTCTTCCATGAAGGATTAGTTAAGCAAATAAAGAAATCCTATTCAGTCATTGAAAATTGTGTCATATGTCATATGAGAAGATTATTAATGATCTGCAAAAATGTTTGGAGTATATTTTGAAGTAAAGAAAGGCTAGCTTACAATGTATATGCAAATGCAATGGAAAACAGTATGGTGGTGCCTCAAAAAATTCAAATAAAATTATCATATGATCAAGCAATTCCACTTCTAGATGTATATCCCAAAGAGTGGAAAGCAGGGTCTCAAGGAGGTGTTTGTGCCCTCCCGTTTACAGCAGCATTATTCACGATAGCCAAAAGTCAGAAACAACCCAAATGTCCATCAAATGATGAATGGCTAAACAAAATGTTACATATATGTTATATTTATAAAAAGTATACATTTATCAGCTGAGGTTTATCTATATCTCTATATGACTGATATATGTATCAGTTGTAGAAATAACTGATATATATGTAAAAGCTTTGAAAAGGGAGGAAATTTTTACACATGCCACAAAATGGGTGAAAATTTAGGACCTTACAGTAAGTGAAATAAACTAGGTTTTAAAAGACAAATATGGAGTTGAGGATGTAGCTCAGTGACTGAGCATGTACTTAGTGTGTTCAAAGACCTGGGTAATCCCCAGCATCAAATGGAAAAGAAATACAAAAGATGAATATTGTGTGATTCCATTCACATAAGATTTCTAAAGTTGTCAAATTCATAGAAACAGTAGAGTAACGGCTATTAGGGGTTGGAAGGAGGAGAAATGGGGAGTTATTTAATGGGTATAGAGTTTCAGTTTTGCAAATCGTAAAAGTTATGGAGGTCTGCTGCATTACTGAACTGTGCGCTTAAAAATGGTTGCAATCGTAAATTTTGTGGTTTTTTTTTTTTTTTTTTTTAACCCTGAGTGCCATTTGAGAAGGCTGACCGTGCTGGGGATGCCACATGAAGGTGCTCTCATTGACAGTCCTAGCTGAACCCATCCTTCATCCATCCTGAATTTCCCAGCCCAAGCCCCAGCATAGGAGCAAGGGAGTCATCCTGGAAGTGAATCTGTTAGCCCCAGTTTCTCCACACCCAGCCACCAAGTCATTCCAGAAGAGGCCCCAAACATGGAGCGGAGACCAGAAAGTAACCTTTCCAGATTCCTAAACCACAGAAATCTGTGAGCATAATAAAAAAGCAATTAGTTTATGCCCTTTTGATTTGAGGGGGTTTGTTGCTTAGGAATAGATAGCAGGAGCCACTGGTAATTCTTATCATCTTCAGATAAAAGTTTAGTTCTTTTTCACATAAAAGAAATCCAGAAATAAGCAGTCCATGTCTGATTTGGTGATGTCATAGTCTGCAAAAACCAAGACCTCTTTATCCTCTCTGTTGCCTGGAATGCAAACCTAATGGATGGAGCTCCAGCTGTGATGTTTGACAATCTTGGCAATCTTGAGGATGGCAAAAGAGAACTTAATGAAGCCTGGGTCTCTGATATGAAATAGAGAAATAAATGTTTATTTTGCTTAAGCCACTGGAATTTTAGATCTTCAGGTTATATAGTGAAACTAATGTTAATGGGTACAGAATACACACACACACACATACACACACACACATAGGGGAATGCACAGGAAGACTGAAATGTGTGTGTGTGTGTATGTGTGTGTGTGTGTGTGTGTGTGTGTGTGTGTTTAGAATAACAAAGATCGGCTTGGCTGGGCTAGAAGATTGAAAGTTTTCGAAATAGTAATTGAAGTCCTGGGTATAGCTGAGAATGCTAAGGAGAATATAGAGTGAGAAGTTGGGAGAGCTAAGAAACCTGTGGAATATCAGCAGTTAAAGAGAAGTAGGGGAGGAGCAGCAGGAGGAAGGGCTCCTACCTTGCAGTGGGCAGAAATCCAGGACTGAAGTTGGCAGGTGTACAAGTAACCTGGCCCTTCCTTGTGGAGGTGGTTGGGGTGAGAGCCCTGCTGTGTGCCCTTTTGTACATAACTCACATGCAGGCCTCCCACACAGGACCAGAAGGACACTCCTTGAAGTTTCAAGTCACTTTTGACTCCTTTTTATTGTCCCAGTACCTCCAACAGTAACTGTCAGGCAATACTTGTCTGCAAGCTAAACGGAATGGAACAGCCATTGCCATTGGCAAGGAAGTCATGGGAAGGGAGGGTCTCAGGGAGGAGGGAGTGGTCTGCAGTGCCAAGTGCTGAAAACAATTGAGTAAGATAAGACCTTCGAAGGGCCGGTGGCATTTGGCTCCCTGGAGGACATTGGTGACCTTGGGGAGAAGTGTTTTCCTGGGGACGTAGAGGCAAAAAACATACTGAATGGGCCTCAGCCAGGAAGGAGATGGGGAGACAGGATGGGTTGGAGGGATTGTTTTTATATTTTCTAGTTAATTGTGCTTCTAGGCAGAGTGCTGGGGACCTGAGAGAAAGCCTCCCGGACCTCTGCAGGTCATTATGCTTTCTCCTATCAGAGTTGATGACAAATCCGTCATTTTATTATCTAAGTCATTGTTTAATTTCTCATGTATTAAAATCTCTCCATGTCTCCCCTCTGCCCCAACTAAAACCAAAGTTCCAGAACAGAGACTGTTTATAGGCTGCTGGCACAAAGTAGGTGCTCTGTTGTTGCCAACTGCCTTTTCTTCCCCTCAATCAATTTCCTGAAAAACATCTGGGCTTGAAGCAGCTGACTTCATGTAAACAGAGGAGACCTCACCACAAGAAGTGGGACCCAGGGGTAGGAAATAAAGCCATCTGAGTTGGCATGGGGTGGAGACGGCCTGGTCCTGCCTCCAGCAGTGGTGAGGAGGGGTCCTGGAGGGAGAAAAACATTATGGGAGCCAGACCCAGGATGAGGGCAGGAGCTAATCCCGTTTTGCATCCTCAGATAATGAACGCAGATGAACTGACAACCTTTAGCGACATGACCATTTATTCTGTGTTCAAATAATACAATGATTTTATTAACTTCATTTGCATGTTCTGATGAATTCAATGCATGGCTAACTTCACCTTACAACAACCAAGTCCGTAGCTTGGTATGTTCTGATTGCTGGGGAGCCTGTTCCCTATAGCTGCCTGCTCTGGTGGAGGAAAGGGCAACATTTCAGGTTAGCCTCACCTGGGTGGGGACCAGTTTTGCAGGTCTAGAAGCCCTGTTTATCAGTGGCTCAAGAGAGTCAATGGATTCATGCTTTCCAAGGTTATGGGAGAAAGTGGCATAAATCCATGCTCCAAATTTTAACACACAAAGAATCATCTGGGCAGGGTGGGGATGGGGCTGAGTCTCCTTGCAATGCAGTTTCCATTCCTCATGGTTGGGTGGGACCTGTGAGTCTGCATTTCTAACCAACACCACATCACACTGAGTATGAGGAAGTAAACGGGAGCCCATTTTTTTCTAAATTTTGGGTACCTGTCACCACTTTCCCAACAACCAGAGGACTGTTTAAGGAGCATGGATGTCCAGAAAGAGAGTGGTGCCTTCCAAGCTTGCTGGGCTTCACTTGGACCACATGTCTTTAGGCCTTTTGGCTTCACCTTCTATCTGGTGAAGGCATCCTAGTGGCTCAGCTTGCACCTTTCTTCAGTGAAGTCCCCAGCCTGCAGAGGTTATTTTTTTGATTATGATGATTGAGCTTCTCTGTGTCCTAGGGCTTTCTCAGCAACTTGGTGAGAAGCCATCTCTCAGGATGAGTTCTCTCTCCTCACCTTTCTGAGCTCATCCTTGATAGTTTGGTTCTGAGTCAATCGCCAAAAACTAGGATGTCCTGATTGGGGTGTTTACATGATAAATAAGAGGAATCACACTTAGAAAGAAATAATCTCTTCTGGAAGCCAGAGTGATACGGTGGTAAGAGCTGAGAGGTGCTGCTGGGGCAAGTTCAACAGTGAGCATCAGCCATGCTGGCCAGCATGGCCCACCTGGAGCGATTTACCTGTGGCCTGCCCAGACCTCCCTGAATTGCATCCCAGATCCTTGTCTGTGAGCCTGAGCCGCAGAATTGGCTTTGCTTGGCATTTCATGGAGGTGGATACTTTGCCTGGTGTGGATCATGTGTATCACCAGCCCAGGGTGGCTGGACAGGTTACACTAACGTGGGTCACCTCTTTGGCTTTATGGTGGTAGTCTGTCTATGACTCTATCTCTCTAGCTCTCCATCTAGAGACACCTGGCCTAGCTTCTAGCTTCAGGCTTCCTACTAATACCTTGATTCATAAAAGTAAAAAAAATCACAAAATGTTATTGATTATAAAAATAATAAGAATGCAATTATTATCTTAAATTTTAAAAACTATTTTTCCAGAGAAACCCAGAGTACTTTTCAGTCTTCCTGTGCATTCCCCTAGGCCTGCCATGGGAGGAGGAAGAGGAGTTAGAGAGGGTAGGGCTGTTGGACAGCCTCCACTTCCTGTTCTGAGTCTGAAATTTCTTGGGAACCAGCCAGTTTCTGCTCTCCACACTCGAGGTATGCGTGGGAGCTTGTGGCCTTCCCTGCAGGAAAGTGGTAAAATAAATTCCTAGAAGTATAAAACCCCAATATGGCTCCTGGTTATGTTCCTTTGTTTCTCTCCCCTTTTTAAAATGTTACTTTTTTATAGGAAGCCCAGGCCAGCCTGCCTGCACCGCTGGCCAGAGAGCTGGGCTACCTGCATGGGCCACAGAGTCCGGGCCACTGACAGGAGAAGCAGACACAGGATGGACGGGCTGCCAGGGGCTTAGGAAGGACATTGGTTCTTGAAACGTTTCTTCCTTTCCACCGCCAGCCTCAGAGACTGAAGGAGCTTGTCTTTGTTATTCAGGATGTTGTACTCAGAGAGTTTCACCAGTTTGTCAAAGGCAGCCTCCGTATAGGTCAGTTCCTTGGTGGCATAGGGGGAGTGGGGGCCATAAATATCCACCTGGCCCAGCTCCATCTCCTCAGGGCTCCTCTCCACACCTGGGGGCAGCAGAGGAACTCACTGTAGACTCTTACTATGTCAGGTTGTAAGGATTTGTTTCCACCTCCTTCCCCCGGCCTACCCTGCATGCGCTAACAGACATATCTGCATGAAAACACGCACAGCACGCACACTCACATGCTCACCCGCACCCTCTAAGCTCCTCGGGGTCCATCTTAGGACTCTCCTGGCACCAAACAGTGCCAGGCACATAGTTGGATGTCAATGAGTGTTGAAGGACTAAAAGAGTTGGAGATGACATTGCCAGCCGTCCAAGTGCGGGGTGGGACAGGAGGGGCTGTTTTCTTCCTTGCCAAAGCTAAGGTTGGCTCAGCCAGCCTGATGGGTTAGTGCTATCAGGACACTTCCACAGTCTAAAGACAAGAGCCAGCAGGTGCTGGGGACAGAGTCAGACAGAGGCGGCTCACCCGGTGCCTTGTACTTCTGGAAGGTGTCATTGATGAGTGGGAAGAAAGCCACGATGGGGGCATCGGGGTCCTGGGGATGTTCCAGCAGGTAGCACTCCTTGAGACTGCCGTCCTCATCCTGGAGCTCATAGCCGGGGAAGGGGATGTTCTGCGTGGTGCAGTACTCGCAGGTTTGTTTCAGGGGCTAGAATATCACCAGAGGATGTATTTGAGATTGGAGGGCTGGGGATGGACAAGACACACAGAATCCATGGATCCAGCTTCCTGATATCTCTAGCTAACAATTCCAGTCCCCAACTGATTGCCCAGTTTGGATACATTTAGAAAAAAGCGGGTCAGGACAAAAAACCTGAGGCAGTAGGTTGGTACACCTGCAGCTTTGAGCTCCTTCCCCAGGAAGGATGTTGATGATGTTTCACCCAACACAGACCCGGGCAGGCTGTGGGTGTGACAGTGACTGGAGCTGGCCATGTACAGGTGTGGCAGGCCAGGCTCCTGTGGATATGCATGGATTTTGGAACTGACAAGTATCACAGGGCTGGACTTTGAAATGTGCCTTTAAAAATGTGTTGTGGGCTGGGGCTGTAACTCAGTGGTAGAGCACTTGCCTAGCACGTGTGAGGCATGGGGTTCCATCCTCAGCATCACATGAAAATAAATCAATAAAATATTGTGTCCATCTACAACTAAAAATATTTTTAAAGAAATGTGATGCAACAGAAAGAGTACTGGACTTATTTCCACACCTGTTAAATAGCTCATTTTCTGTGTGACATTGAGCAAGTCACTTACCCTCCCTACGGCTCAGTTTTCTCATCTGTAACACTGGGATAATAGCTGCTGTGCTGTCTACCTCAAAGAGCTGTGTAAGGACCAGGTGTAAGGACACTGTCATTTATTTACAAAGTATGGAGACCTCTGAGGTGTGGCACTGCTTCCCAGGCCCCAGGGCTCAGGTGGAGCCCAGCTGGCTGCACTTGCCTTCGTCTGGGACCCTGCACAGTAGTTGAGGTGGATGATGAGGTCGGCTTTCCTCTCTGGCCTGAGAAGAGGCGGGTAGCTGGAGTTGACAAAGAAAGCGGTGTCTAGCAGGCACAAGTGTTTTGCAAACTCTGTCAGCTGGTTTGGGAAGTGGTCCAGCACCGTGTCTGAAAGCCAAGCCTTCTGGTTACCAATATGATTAGTGCCCTGGTGTCAGCCAAGGGTGGGACTTCTGGTGTGGACAGAGTACCCTGCCTGGAGCCTCCTTCCCCTCAGCCTGGGCCTCCAGCCTTCACCCTTTTGACCAGGTTGCCATTGAGTCCCATGGCTCCTCTGTTTAGGCTAATAAAATGGGGGTTTAGCAAATCTTGGTTATGCATAGAAAACCCACTATGATCCAGTCACAGCGGGTCTTAAGGGTCGCAGGGGCTTAAGAACATCCTATAAGTTAAGGCTAACCTTGGGCCCAGGCCTGCTGTCTCTTCTGCCCTAGACACTGAGAACAAGGACTAATAGGCCAGACTCAAGCAGCCATTGCACTCTGGTCAAATAAAATACCAAAGAAAGTAGAAAATCAACCTTGGAACCTTCTAGGGGAAGGAGGTGCTGAGTCAAAGGCACCAGAGCATAGGTTAAGGTCTTGCTCACCCCTTGGGGTTTCTGAGTTGGGCCATTCTTGCCCAACTCCAATGGGGCACCACTCACCCCAGAGCACAACTGCAGAAAGTAAGGGCCCATGTTTCCCCGTCTGTACAATGGGTCCAATTTCTGGCTGCTGGGATTGTTGAGCAGATTCTGTACAGTTATACAGTCAATTAATTAAATACCACACCACCCCCTGCTGGCACACAAATACTCCATGCTGGGTGATACTGCCAATGGTGGACTTCCCATGGCAGGGTCACCTGGATTCTATCCGATGATGGTGGCCAGAGGAGTCTTATTCTTTCTCCATGGCAGCCTCAATATCCTCTTCTCCCTCCTCCCAACAAACCCAGCCCTGGAGAAGCACCCAGGCGGGGGTACCTTTCCACATGGAGAACTGACTGTTCTGGAGGTAGTCAGTGTGTAGCTGCAACCCAAACATGAAGTTGTGGAACTCAGACACGAAGGGCCGATGGGTAAGGATGTCTCGGAAAGTACTGGATAGCCAAGACCCAGGAATTGCTACTGTGGTCTCCAGGATGTCAGCATCACATTTGGGGATTTCAGGCAGGATCGGCTCATCTTCTGCAGGGGAGAGGGATGTAAGGCAGGTCACAAGAGTTTGGGTCCCAGGATTGCCCAGGTGTAGTGCCACCTGGGCCTGGGGTGAGTCACTATAAGTGACCTTCCTTGCCCAGCTCTCAAGACTCTGGCCCCACAACCAGAAGGACCCAGCTGAGTGGCATGGAACAGGGACAGGTAGTGGAGAGGGGAGGGTGGGCCTTCAATAAGGTGGTACCAGAGAGGACAGAGTCCAGAAGAGCGACCTTTAACTGTGCACAGATCCCTACTCTCATCAGCTGTCCTGGGCACTGGAGGTGTCCTCCTGGGCCTTGGTCGAGGTGCCACCTATAATCACCCTGCCTGGAGGGTGACATTCCAACTCAGCTACCTTCTCTGGGCCATAGATACAATGTGGGAACATGTGGCAAGCACAGGGTCCTCCATTCATGGTCCATATCCCACCCCCACACACCTAATCATAAGGGGAAGCCAGTGGGTCACCCACCAATGTCATGCACCTTCTTCCTCGTCCACCTGTGGAAAAACTCCTCCGAGGTGTGGGACAGATTCCAGGCATCGAGCAGGTTCAGGGAGAAGATGCTGCTCCACAAACCTAGGGAAGCAGAGCAGCCGTGAATAGCTCTCTCCAGGAGTCCTCATAGACCTGATGGTTCTGCCTTGGCCTTGATTCCTCCTCGGGCCAGACTGCTCAGTGGGTGGGACAGACTTTGATTTCCTTCTGCCCTGGTGACTGATGGTGCCAGCCCTCAGCTCTTTTCCCTCCCTTCAGTGTAGGTAGCATCTGGGAAGGTGTACAGGGCACATCCCCAGCAGGGGCTAGACAGTGACAAGTGCAGCTTCAAGTCCAGGTCCCCCTCTTGGATCAGTTCACACAGCTAAAGCATTTAGGATATGATGAGCACTTGACATATGTAATGCTATTTCTTATTATTTAACAGATGTAATATTAATAAAACTTATTTTAAATTTCTCATATGTATTGATCCATTGGGATCTTCTACAAAGTAGGTTTTACTTTGAATTTTTATTTTTTATTTTTTAAGTACTAAAGATTGAACCCAGGGCCTTGCAAATGCTAGGCAAGCACTCTACCACTAAGCTATATCCTGACCCTTTTTATTTTATTTTGAAATTGGGTTTCAAAAAGCTGCCGAGACTGGCCTCTACCTTGAAAGCTTCCTGCCTCAGCCTCCCAGGTAGCTAAGATTCTAGGCAACAGCCACCATGCCTGGCTAGATAGGTTTTACTCTTAAACCAATTCACAGATAAGAAAACTGAGGTTCAGAGAGGTTAGGTAATTTAGCCCACTTCACACAGTCAATAAATAAATATCTGAGTTCAGTTCTAAGGGTTTTAACTACAGGTTTTTGAACCACATAACCCATAACATAGATATTTAGGGGAAGAAGAGGCCACTGTGGACTGGGGTCTTTGGGATGGGCTTCATAAAAGAGATGGGACTTGAGTTGGACCGCCGTCAGTCCTTCTGGGCTTAAAGGGCTGCGGAGAGATCAAGGCAGTCTGAGAGGTTGGTGTGGGGGTAGGTTCAGAAACCCCTCCTGGGATAAGGCAATGTCAGCAAATGCCAGGAAGGCCACGTGCTCAAGGGCTAACCAAGGACTACCCAGGCCAGATCTGGGGCAAGATCCTTTCTGTCATTCCTCTGTTCAAAACCAGGGCCTGCCCAGCTAGGAGTGCGTGCTCAGCGGAGTCCCCCAGCCAGGAGTCACCTAGCATGTAGCACATCCGCGACTCAGGGATCCTCTTCATCAGCCGCCCCATAAAGAACTCTGAGCCGAAGAGCTCCGTGGGGATGAAGGCCCCGTACTTCTGCAGGCCCACCTCGTAGGGAGAGAACTCGAACCATTCTGCACAGGAAGCGGCAGGGGAAAGTGTCAGTTTCAGATCACGGAGCCACGCCCACTCAGCCCAGCCCTCCCACATGCCAACCAGCCTTGGCTTCCCGGCCCTTGGGTTCCTCCAACTGGGAGGCTGCAGTTCTCCTATGGAGCACACGGGGACGCCCGCGACCGGCCTATGCAGACTAGTCAAAGCTTTGCAAACTGCTCGCCTGGTTCTTTTGCTCCCCCGACCCCCAACTCCTGTAATGGGGATTGAACCCAGGAGCATTCTACCACTCAGCCACATCCCTAGCCCTTTTAAAAATTTTGTTTTGAGACAGTCTATAATTAAGTTATCCAGACTGGACTTCACTTTATGATCCTCCTGCTTCAGCCTCCAGAGTAGCTGGGAATAAAGGCAGATACCACCACACCTGGCTCTCTATTGTTGCTCAAAGACAGATAAAAGAGGACCCAAAGTGACCCTACTGCAGAGTAGGTCTCCATGGCCCTTCCCTCTAGGAAGCTTAAGAAATGTCTAGGACTCCTTCCCTTCTCCTTACTTATATTTTCCTCTGGCCCATCAAATGCACCCAGTAAGCTAAGGGACTCTGCCCACCAGTCCCACTCAAGGGGCAGGGCAGAATGGGGGAACTAAGTTGATTTCTTCAACTGTGGGCACAATTTTTTGATGTGGGTTGGCAAAGCATGTGTGGGGTTAGGGGGTGGACCTTGGGGGTTCTGGGTGCCTTTGCCAATCAAGAAGTTACCCTCTCCTAGATCACTAGCCACCAGTGTTACCTCTGAAATCCTGGTTGCTTACATCATCCTTGACATTGATGGTGAGGTAGATAGGCAGGGGATTCTGGCCCTGGCACAAAGCAGCACGCTGCTCTGACAGTTTGCATTCATTTCTCTATGGGGAAATGAAATAGTTAAGGAGAAGCAGCAGACATGCAACCCCCACCCCACTTGCCCCTGGATGAGAAATCACTCAGCAGTCCTTTCCTGGATCCCAAGTCCATCAGGCTGCTGTGTAAACTGCAACTGACCCCTGTCAAACCTGTTTGTTTTGTGTGTTTGTTTGTCCTGGGGATTGAATTCAGGCATGCTTTACCACTGAGCTACATCCCTGATCTTTTTATTTTTTATTTTGAGTTAGGGTCTCTCTAAGTTGTGAGGCTGGTCTCAAACTTGTGATCCTCCTGCCTCAGCCTCCCAAATTGCTGGGATTACAGGCCTGCAACACATCACTGGCTCAAACTTGGCTCAAATCTACCTGGGAATGTATCTCACCTCCTTGGGCTATCCACCAGCCCAGACTGCAGACAGGGGAGGAGCCAAATCTGCAGTTTAGGACCCTCAGAGCCTCAGGGTCCTCCTGTAGTCTCAGGGGCCAGAGCATAATGAAGCAAGGGTGAGAGAGGCCACCACTGTCCCTTTTCATTCCTACTATCTTCTGCCTCCCTAGAACATGAAAACCTCCAGGGTCTTTGTTTAGTCAGCTTGGCATGTTGGGCTCCCTCATAAAATTTGGGATAAAAAAAAGTTTCTTTTCTTTGATTTTTGCCCCTAAACCGAAATCTTGGAAATCTGGGCACTACATGGTGGTCAAAGCGTGTTAAAGTCCGCAGAGTGTTCTGCTGTGTTAATCAGAGTGGCAAGTCCTGCAGATCAGCCCTGGCCATCGGCATCTCCCAGAGTGAATCAATCAGTGCAGACGAGGCAGAGTTGAGGTCCTAGAGGCCCAGGCTCTGACCCCAAGCCAAGCAGCAGCCTGCTTCATGACCATCCCTAGGATAGCAAATGCATGGGAGGCCCAATGACTCTTGGGCCTCCTTTGAAGGAAAACAGAGTACCTGTCACAACTGGGTACATAGATCTGGGTGTCACAGAGCTGACTGTCCTGCAGACTCCTGGAAGGTCCTAGTCCACTCTCATTGTCAAAAGGGCTGGAGGGAAAGGGGCTCTTGTCTTGGCCAGAGTAGAAGAACAGAGGCTCCCTAACAGCGATTCTAGCCTTGCTTTCTGGAGGACCACGCCTTTTCTCTATACTGATCCCTCAAAATGCTTAGATTTCTGGCCTTGAAAACTTTGGTGCTCTCCTCCTCATCTCACAGGTTATTAACTTAAAATACTGTGTTAAAATATTAATCAGTTAGTGATGTAATCCTCTGTAAGGAATGGTGCAGAGCAGGGTCACATGCAACCCCAACTTGCCTGAATCTGAAAGTCAATGCCCTTAGTTTCTGCCTGCCTGTTCCATCAGGAGGTCAAGTTAAATGAGGAGTTTTCAAAGGAGCCAGGGTGGGATCCATCAAAAGCCATGAGTTGAAAGCCATGTCTGATTCCTTTCTGAATCCCTAGGGGCCAACCTAGTTCCTGGCATGCAAGAGGTAATGATTTAGTTGAAAGAATGAATGAAGGAATGAATAAATATTGAGGATGAATGTCAAGTCATCCTCAGTTGGTTAAATCAAGTCATCCTCAGTTAATTTTCTAGCAGAGGGGACCTATTATAAAATTATTTGCTGCTTCTCCTCCCTCTGGAAAATTCAGATTTATTAATAATTGAATTCTTATTTAAGGTGGAATTAAGAGCTGAGGTCCTGGACAGAGGTTAAGTGGGAAGCTCTGCCTTAGGTCCAATCAACAGACCAAAGGTGGTTCCTCCCTGTGGTCAGTGCAGCATGAAGCGTCCAAGTATGAGTGGAGCTCACCCTGAAGGCCAGGATCACAACATCCCCTGGGGATCTGCCTGCTCTACCATTTCTCACATGATTCTTACAGCAGTTGCATCCCAAGCTGGTTCTATTGTTGAGCATGTATTGCTCAGATCATTGTATCCCAGAGCAGAAAGCAATCTGGTTAGGTCTTCCCTATGTGGTGACTATGAAAATGAGACCTGCAAACTTCCAACTGCTGACAGTGTTATTGGTGAAGGGCTCCAGTTGCTGTGCCCGGAAAGCCAAGGCAGAATCTGTGCTGAGACCATGCTTCCTCTGACCAAATGCAGTAGGGATATTGAGGCAGGCCCATTCTCAGAAACACAGGATACCACACACAGCCAACTTTGACTAAAAGGTCTTCTATGGGATTTGCTGTACATTTCTAGACCACCTGGTAGTCTGGGAAGCTTCCATTTGACCTTTCCCCCTCTCTCCTCCACTTAGGGTCAAACTTCCATCATGGTTGGCATCTCTCTAGTCCTGCCCAGCTCCCTCCCCATTTTCTGCCACAGGTATCTTCGTGTGGCTTTCAAAGTTCATATTGCTTCCATGTAGGGTGCACCTGACCTGTTCCCAACACAAGGGTCTCAATCATTCTCTAAAGGGGATGTGAGATGATGATCCCACCACCTTCCATCATGCTTTTCAGCACTTGGTGGTTCTTATGTTCTAGGAACAAACCTTCAGGTCTGCCCTAACCAGAGCAGAGGTGAAAGTCCAGACCCCCTGATGAAGAAAGAGAATCGCACATTAGCCAGGGCAGGGTGGGGCATAGTGAAAGCTGAATGCCTACCTCGTCCCCAAGACAGGCCTCAATCAGCAGGCCCCAGAAGTCTGTAAAAGTGACCCTGTAGCCTTCCTGGCTGCGCTGCCGGAGTTCCTCCTGGAATCTGCAGAGCTGGTCTGGGAACAGGGAAGGCATCTTGTCTTTGACTGCATGTCTCCGGGCTTCGAAGACAGCAGGCTCCAGGTTTTTGGAGGACCACTCAGGGTCACGGTACAAAGTAGCCATTGTCCTGGAGAGAGACAGGAATGGCTGAGAGAGTTGACCTGGCCCTGGTCTGATCAACCCTGGATGCAGGCAGGAGGGGAAATGGGCAGGCCACTGAGAATCCCAAACCTGCCAGGAGAGGAGCCTGGAGGAAAGGTGTGAGTCGGGGCCTGGTGGATGGAGGGCGCGAGGGAGGGAGGGTAACAATCATTACTCATAATCACTGTTACTCCTATCTGCCCATGCCTACTGTGTGCTGGGTATAGCATATTGGTTGAGATGAGGATTTGGACCCAGATCTTCCTGGGTTCAAAACCAGGCTCTGCCATTCGTTTGCTGTGTGATCTCAGACAAGCTACTTAACCACTTTCCACCTCAGTTCCCCTAGTTGTGGAATGGGGAGAATTGTGATAGCTGTATCCAGCTCATAGAGTTCTTGGGAAGATTGTATGAGCTAACAGTGTAAACTGGAACAGTGGCTGACACAAAGCAAGCGCTGGGAATAACATTTGAACGCAGGTTTGGCCGATTCCAGATCCCAGGTTCTTTCTGCCCTGCTGCATTCATTTCCACAATGATGATTCTGGCTAAAGTAGTTCCCCTTCTTCTTAATCTATATGTGGTTCCTAGGGGGCAACAAAACTAATGTAGTCTGGGTCTGGCCCTGTCTGCCCCTCTTGGCCTTGATCCAGTGTTTCTATGTCAGGACAGGAAAGGGCCCCTGCTTATTCTGCACCTGAGAACTTTCCTGCTTGAGGTGGACCTTGTCTGTGGCTGCATGGATATGTGAATTGTGTCCTCTTCCCTCACAGAACTTGTTACAGGGGGCGTGGAAGTTGGCCACGTTGGCCAGAATGATAAAAATCACTCTGCTCTCTGTAAAGTTTGCTTTGTTACTTTTATACTTTCAAAAAGCTTCTGAAAGCCATTGCCAATGGTCATTTTTAAAAGAATATTTCTCATGTTTCCCCACATCAGGACATTTTCCACCCTCCCACCCTCACCCTGGCTGGGTCTGAGGTTTTCCCCATTACCAGCCTGTCCCACAATAGTCCAGGGTCATACAGGTGTCCCTTAACCCTACTGGAAGCAAGTTATCTTTTTAGCTCACTAGCCAGGAGCAGCTGTTTAACATGGGGATTAAGAATGTGGGCCCTGGATGAGGTTCAAATTCTAGGTCTACAATTTATTAGCCAAGTGACCTCAGGCAAATTGCTTTGTTTCTTATGCTGTAAAATAATGCTGGAAAAATTATGGTTGGTCCTCCTTATCCATAGGTTCCTCATCTGCAGACTTAACAAACTGTGGATCAAAAATATTTGGGGGAAAATGCCTCTGTACTGAACCTATATGGACTTTCCCCCCATTGTCATTATTCCCTAAATAAGATAACAACTATTTATACTGAATTAAGTACTTTATAAACAATCTAGAGATTGTTTTTAAAATACAGAGAGGATTGTGTAGTTTATATGCAAATACTATGCCATTTTATATAAGGGAATTGAACATCAGTTCCTCCTGGAATCTGTAGAGGAATTCTAGAGAGATGGGTCCTGGAACCAATCCTTCTGGGATACTGAGGGACCACTGTGCTTGGAACATAAGCCAATATCGATAACTATTAGCTATGCTTCTTATTCCAACTGGGTTGAAGCCTTGAGCCCCTGATGAGAGGATCCAATGCCAGGAGAGTCCTTGATTTTTTTTTTAGGGCCAGTTCACATCCACTTGCTCACATGAGAGTTACCTGGAGCTCCTCCAGGATAAAAGGCACAGAATGGGATCTCGTGGGTTCCCAAGTTCCCCGGTCACCCACAAAATAAGATGCAGCCCTGGCGGAGAAGCCTTGGGTAGTCACAGTCCCCTGAACCAGGGCCATCCTGAGCCAGGGCCACACAATGACTTTGGTGGGCCCACTATAAAAAAATATTTAAAAAGCAAATGTTATGGCTGTGTTGTTTAAAGACAAATATATTAATGTTATTTACTAAAACATTTTATTTAACCTAGAAGCTCATATTTTCCTTCTTATTAAAAAAATAATAATAACAACATATTGTTGTGGGTTCCTGACAGTTCTGTATGCCCCAGGCACAGTGTGTCTAAGTTAGTCAGCCTGACCTGCCTCCTACTGGGGAGCCCAGTGCTCAGTCACCTTACTCTCCAGCAGAGATGGGGAGGTGGGAGTCTGTGGCAGGGCCCTGTCCTGCCCTCTAAGCAGGGCAGAGGAACGGACTGGGGTGGGCTGAGAGGGCCTGGAGGGTAGGAAGCCATAGCAGCGGGGCCATCTCCACTCACCCTAGGAGACTTGGCACAGTCTCCCATCAGGAAAAGAGTGGTACCAGGGATTAACTCATCCTTGGTTCCTATGTTCCTGGGCTCCTGCCACAGCCCCCAGAAAATAGAACTGCCAGTAATGGCCAACATGTACAGTGGCTCTGTGTACTTAGTACTGGGAGAGCCTCTCGTCACAGCCATGAGGTGAGTGCTATTGTTATCCCCACTTTACAGATACAGAAATTGAGCCTCTGAGGAGTTAATCTGCATGCCCAAAGTCACACAACTGCAGGAGGCAGAGAGTCCCTGGTGTCTTGAGTCACTTTTACTTGGGTTGGGACTGGGTAGAACTTCACCAGAAATCCCAGGCCAGCCTGTTTGCTGCTTGCTCTGGGGTCCACTAGACAGTGGCTCCCAGCATCTTACCAGGTGGCCCCAGACAGGCCGGTGATGTAACTGGCACAGTTCAGGAGGTTCAACTTCTGCAGTCCCAGCAGGTGGCCATACATGGAGGTCATGGATCTGGCTCCACCCCCAGTGGCCATGATGGCTATCACTGGTACCTGGGGGCATAGAGGCAGACAGCTAGGGAGGGCTCCAGGGACAAAGCTGGTGGGAGAGGAGTTGGAATGACAGATGGCAGCTTGAAAGAATGGTGGAGGAGGGGTCTGGGGGCAGAAAGCCAGAGCAGGGCTGGGACAGCAGTGAGAAGCCTGAAAACTGCCTTTCCCAGGTGGGCCACGCAGTAGGTCTAGAATTAGAACTTAGTTCCAAACCCAGTGATGCCAGTAAAGGCTCTGAAACCTAAATCGTAGAAAGCCGCGTCTAGAAGAGGTCTTAGCACTCTTAATCCAGCCTTCAGTTAACAGATGATAAAACTGGGGTCCAGGGTGGTGATATGATTCCTTAATGGTGACAAATTGAGATCTTTGGAAGGTGGATATGATCTTAGGGCAGCAGGCCCTGGCTTGGTACATGGCACATGTTCAGTCTATACAGTGTCTATAAGAGCAAGAAGAATACATTTCTAATGTCAGAAGCAGCAGGGTGGCCACTTGTGGTTTGACCTGGCTTTGAGATGCCTTTGGTGTGTTTTCCCTAAGGGTGGGATGAAGAAGGGGCTCTGAACCCAATCTCTGTTTTCATTTGGGTGGGGACTAAAAAACCCTTCAGTCACCTGAAGCCCAAACACAAGCCCTCCCTGGGCCCCATGTGGTCTCCATGTACACCATGGTCAGACTCAGAAGTCAGGCATTTTGGAGTACTAACCAGCTGCCCAGGACAGTGTGAGCCCCAGACCACACAGGGGAGGTGACAGAGGACTCTGACAAAGGCACTGCTGTCTGCCTCCATGGAAGGAAGCGACTGGCCCTGGGAGTAACATTGCTTGTTTCCAGCTTGCTACAGCTATTATTTCTGGGAGGTGTCTACGTGTGCACATTTGAGAAGAGAGAGAACTGAAGGACAAGCACCCACGGCCTTTTGGGTGGGGGATATGGCATGCATAAGGTGGTGGAGCTTTAAATGTTTTCTGGCTGGGGCAAGGAAGTCATTTTGTGGTTGAGTTAGTAAGGCACACTTCTGCCACCTCAGGATCCAGTGCATGGGAGGAGCAGAGCCGCTGGAGCCCTTTCCTTCTCTCTCTAGTCTGCCCTCCCCTCCCCAAGTGAACACACAACTGGCGAACATCCAGCATGCACTCCCTGGGCACCAGACCTCAGCCACGAGGACAATGGTGAAGGGAAAGCAGTGTCTTAGCCATCCTGGAGCAGGGAAGAGCTGAGATGGCTGGTGGGATATGAGGTTGGAAGGACCGGCTTAGCCTGGAGTGGCCCTGAGCCCAGGCCAGCAGCCTCTGCTTACCCACCTCGTCCTCCAGCAGGTCCTCCTCTAGCTGCAGCACCTGCTTCAGTGCCTTGGCCACAACCACCTTCCGCTTTTGCAGAAACTCCAACTCTTCCTGGCACAGGCTGAAGCCCAGCCGCACATCCAGTGTGTCAGGGCTGAGGGAGAGAGGATCCTGGCTGAGTGGGCCTGTAGCCTTATCTTCAAGGGACTTTAGGGTCAGTGGACTCAGGTTTGAAGCCCAGCCTGTCATCTACCACTTTTGTGATCTTGCCTCCACAACCTATAAAATGGGCCTTAACTCCCAGCACTGCCTTTAGCATTTAATGAGCTAACAAATGTAACTCTGGCATGCTTTGAGCTGATACTTGACAAAAGATAAATGTTGGTACTTGTATTAGGAACTCTGAACGCTCTGCCTCATCAGCAGGGTCTGGAAAGTTCAGAAAGGCTTCTTTCAGGTGCCTTCTATAGTCCAAGACCATACATGGGTGACAGGGGGCCCTGAGATCCTTTTGGCAAATACCCCTGGACAAGGCTCTCTAGTGTGGAGTCTGAGCTCCATAAACAAGCTCCCTCTTCCTACAGAGCTCACATTCTTCACTAAGCCTTTCCTGCTCACTGACATTTCCTGTGCCTTTGTGTAGCTGACAAAAACTCTTCACATCCCTGACCTCAGCAGGTCTTTCCCACAGGTCCTCCAGGCAGGTGGGGAGGAGCTGCCATGACATGCTCAACGCTTGCCCTCTGTGTCAGTGACATCCCTGCCCAGAACAAGTCCAGGCCCTTGTTCTGGCATCCAAGACCCAACCTGACCTGTCCAAGCTCAACTTAAGCTCCCTGCTGGAAAGGGCCCATCAGGCTCTCAGAGGCTCAAACAGTCTAACTTCTAGGCCTTCACCCTCACCAGAAGCATCCTCCCTTTGCCCACCTTCACCCCCTGAGGACTAATGTCCCAGGGACTCAAGGTGAATGGACTTTGGCAGTTTACAATCCAGAACAAATAAGGTTCTTTCTCTAACAAAGCCACATCTCCTTGAAGCCAGGGCTTGAGAACTCTCTGATCACATCTCCTAGCATAGGCCTGCAGACACAGCTTCAAGAAAATAACTCTTTCACTGGGCTCACAAGGAATACTGATAATCTAATGATGATAATAGCAACAATAACATTGGTTGATATTTTCTAGCATCCCACTCAGCAGATAGATTACAGAATACTTCACATGTCCTACTTCATGGGATACACAAAGTGGTCAGATTTACAGGTGAAGAAAACTTAGGGAGGTCAAATAACCTGTGCAAGAACAAATAGCTAATCAAACTATAGATAAAAATTATGGTAAGTTGCTTTTTTAATTTTTATTTTCTTGCAGTGCTAGGGTTTAAAATCAGGGCTTTGCTTACACTAGGTAAGTGCTCTACTGCTGAGCTATACCCCTAGCCCCCTTTTATTTTTATTTTTGAGACAGGATCTTGCTAAGTTGCCCAGCCTGGCTTTGAACTTGTGACACTTTTGTTTCAACCTCCTGAGTAGCTGGGATTATAGGCACGAACTACTGTGACCAGCTGGTCACTTGATTTTCAACAAGGTTGACAAGGCAATTCAGTGGGGGAAAGATAATATTTTCAACAAATGGTGCTGGGACAACTGGATACTTGCATACAAAAGAATGGAATTGGACTCCCTTACTCTATATTCAAAAATTAACTAAAAATAGAGCATAGACCTAGATATGAGAACTAAAACTATGAAAGTCTTAAAAGTCTTAAAAGAAAACAGAAGTAAATCCTTGTGACCTTGATTAGGTAACAATTCTTATATATGACATCAAAGACACAAGAAACAAAAGAGAAAATAAATGACTTCATCAAAATTCACAACATTGGGCTGGGGTTGTGGCTCAGAGGTGCTTGCCTAGCATGCATGAGGCACTGGGTTTGATTCTCAGTACCACATAAAAAATAATAAATAAAATAAAGGTTTTTAAAAATCTATGCTTAAAAAAATTAACAACATTGTTTTTCAAAGACATCATCAAGATTGTGAAAAGAGTTAGGCATGATGGTGTATGCCTGTAATCCCAGCTACTCAGGAGGCTGAGACAGGAGGATTACAAGTTCAAGGTTATCCTTGGCAACTCAGTGAGACTCCTTCTCAAAATAAAAATTAAAAGATATTGGGGGGGGGGCGGGGGGGGAGGGTGGTGGCTAGGGATATAGCTCATATACTATATAGGGATATAGTAGTAGAGTGCTTACCTAGCATATACAAAGCCCTGGGTTCAATCTTCATTACCACAAAAGAAAAAAAGAATGTGAAAAGATAACCCACAGAATATTCAAAGAACTTTCACAACTTAACAATAACAAGACAAATAGTCCCCCTAAAAAGTGGATAAAAGATTAGAATAGATGGGTCTCCAAAGAAGAGATAATAAACCCATAAAAGATGTTCAATATTATTAGCTTTCAGGGAAATGCAAATGAAATAGCATCCTATACCTACTATTATGAATAAGTTAGAGGGAAGAACAGAAAGAGGGTACTCTACCAAGGTGTGGACTTCATGTGTAATTCACAGTTCTCGCCCTGAGGAGCAAAAGATGAAAAGCTTGTCAGGGAAGATGATGCGGAGCCCAGTGATCCCGGCCAAAGAGAAGGAGCCTCACATTGCCCATCCCTTGGTTTGACTCAGCCTGCATGCATGTGACATGAATGCACATATACACAGGTACACACAGTGTGTATGTGCATTCATGTGTATGTGCATTCTGTCCCCACTCCCCTCTTTTGGACATGATCCTCCCCACCAACTTCACACATTCTCTGGCTCCCACTGTAGCTTATCAACACTCCATAAGACTCCTCTGAGACCCCACACGCCACCTTCCCCCACTGTGCCCTAGGATCTCTCCATTTCCCTGCCACAGGAGCTCCAGGCTGAGCCATCCAGGGGCTCCTTCCCAGATCTAAGCCCTCACCAAAGGCAGGGTCACCGCCTGGCCATCGGAAAAGCAATCAAGGGGCTGGCAGACAGGACCATTCTTGTGTGTGCAGCAGCAGCAAAGCTGGAAGGACAGACAGGCTCTGTGAGGTGGGCAGGGGCTCCTCTGGCAGCCCCCTCCTGCCCCAGGCTCCTCCCTCACCCCCATTGGGGCTGCCTTATACCCCACAATTCCAGTGACTCTTGGGCACCTCCACGTGCAACTGGGGCTGGAAATACTTGGGGTAGTGAAAGCAGGCAGGGTTTGGGCAGTTAGGCTCCTGGCAGGACGAAATGCGCTGGGTGTTCTCGAAGGATTCCGTCACCTTCACCAGGAGGCCTTTCACCAGGAGAGAGGACAGAGGTGAGACCCTTATGAGGGAAGCTTCCTATCACCCTCCTCTTGACCCATCCAAAAGCCTATAGAGATGCCCAGGAAACTGGTTATAATGCCTCTGGGGCATTATCTGGAATGCTCCATTCTGTCGGTGGAGCAGGAGCTGGAATTGCATTTTAAAAAGGCTCTTGAGTGATGATGACTAATGTGGCCTCCAGAAAACCCTTCGAGGTGCGGAGAGAGTCCTTAGGACTAGTACGCTTTGTTTCTGCTTTGCCAGAAGATCTCCCAGTGACACCAGCCCACTGCTGAGAATGCAGGCCCTCACCACATTGTCACTTGGGTGCAGAGGCTCACTACCACTACCCCCACCCCCCATGCATATCTCTCTCTCTCTCTCTCTCTCTCTCTCCATCTGTGGGCTGCTGTCTTCTGGGACAGGATGGAAGACTTGCAAGGGCAGGATGGGGGTGGGATGGAGAATCATACTGGTGGATCCCTCAGATCCCTTGCAGCTATAAAATGCTGTGAACTATGACTTGGCTAAAAGAGGCGGTACAGCTAGAGGAGCCCTGAGAGTTGTCAATGGCTGCCCACCCCAGGTGCTGGTCACTGTACAGACCTAGACATAGAAGGCAGCACTGTGACTCAGGCCCAGGACATTTGGCAGGTCTGGGGACTCCCAGGATGATGGGGGCACCCTTTATAGAGCAGGCTGCGGAAGGTAGAGGTTCATGGCTTTGAGGGTGAGGTTGAAATGATTTTGAGGTGTGTTGGCCAAACTGGCTCAAACTCAGGGGAACCCTAAACCAGGCCAGTTGTCGTTGACCAGGCTTAAAAGCAGCCCTCCTTCTCCCCCCAGCAGGCAGGGCAGCTGAAACACTCACTTTTCTTACTCTTCCTCCTCCTCCTAGATTCTGCATGAACCTCCAGGCAGGAGACTTGCCGACACTGAAACAAAGCAAAGAAAGTCACTGGGACTCTGAGCACAAGCCACCTCCTGGCTCTCTCAGGTAGAAAGAAGGAGATAAAGACCAAGAGGATAAAAGTTGTATTGGTTGACCTCAGGCTGACACTGGGAATGCTGGGTGTGCTGACCACATTTTTTTTTTTTTTTTTAGTGGTCTTGAGCCATATCCCCATCAATCTGTATTTTTTATTTTGAGATAGAATCTTGCTTAGTTGCTGAGGCTGGCCTGGAACTTGCCATCCTCCTGTCTCAGACACCTGAGTTGCTACAATCACAGGCATGAACCACTGCAACCAGATGCTACCCACATTTTTGAACCAGTCAAGTCAAGCCTTCTCACTGAAGATATTTGAAATGAAGTTGTCCTAAAACTCTAGGATGCTTGGTCACAGTTTACTAGGGGCCATGTTCTGAGGGCAGGTCAGTGTCTCATCTGAGGCAATGTTTAGCTCCGGGCTTTGAAAGTGAGAACTTCAAATGAATCAGCTTTTGTAAGAAGTAGAGTCAGGCTGAATTCTTTTTACTAAAAATTCCCAAAGACTCTCTTTTTTGAGGGAGAAGTCTTCTTGAACCCTGGGGGTATTGGATACATTTAATTAAAATATTTGTACAAGCAGCCAAATTATGAAAAAAAAATTGATATTGAGATTATACTTGCAGAGGTTTGGGGATGGTGGGGGAAAGGACAGGACTGAATCTGGAAGGAGGCTGCCTTTACTGGGCTCTCTTTTGGGGGAGATCCCAATTAGGGTTTTCTCTTTGAGATGCAAGATGAAAGGCCAAGGTGATACCCCAGCTACTCCTCTCTGGATGTAGGAGCCCAAACAAATCCCACCCCTCCCTGTACCCCATTTGGCTGGCTCATTTAGTCTGACCCCTCCAGGGCTCAGGATGGGACAAAGACCAAAGCTGGCCTCAGTCCTCTACCCGGAGAGCAGTAGCCAGATATGGTCTCTAGAGCTATAGGAACTCTGAAGGACAATTACCACTAGCACGCCATTGGTGATGAGGGTCTCAGGTGGAGAAAGGCTGAAAAACAAAATGAGAACACCTGGTCATTTCCTTCCTTCCTGATTTCTCATGAAGCTGACGTAGGATCAATAGCAGAGCCTCCTTGATTCTCATTCCAAATATTGATTTAAGAAACCTTAGATCTATGGGATGTCAGGGAGGAAACTGGCAGATATTTTACATAGACTGTCCAGGAAAAAAATACAGATTTATAGGTTAGAAAGAGTAGAACTGTTCTTTATGTCCAACCAGATGTGACTGCATGGAGCTATAGGATTTAGAGTTTGCAAGATATGGTTGCAGCTACCAACTAGAGAAGATGGAAACAATTTTGGTAACAAAAATTTTTCTCCATTTTGTGCTTTAATGTAGGCATTTAACAGACAGGGGCTGACCCAGCCAGCCAGAAGCTTAGTGAATATTAAATGTCCTTGTTTTATGAAGTTGATAATATAAGCCTCTAAGGCCGCATTTAGCCTATTGGAGTCCACAGCCTCCCTTGGCAAAATTAAGCCCCAAATTTTTGGAAGCCATATATGAAGCCAACAAATTGTTTGAGCCATTAAGGCAGGGAAGCTGCTTTTCTGAGAACTCCTGGGTGAAATCCCCTGGTTTGAGAAAGCCCAGATCATGCTTGCTGTCCAGAGGGTGTAACCTGCCAAGCACAAACAACCTGTTTATCCCCACTCTTATCCTGTTCCCCCTGAAGGAACTCTCTATTCATCCCCTTTTGGTCTGTACTTCTATAAATAAAGCAAGCATGATTTTTTTCTTTGTTAGAGTCAGACCCATCTAGTCTGCTCAATCCATCACACCTCTGCTTTGGAGAAAAAAATACATACACACACACACACACACACACACACATATTTTGCCTTTTGTCTTTTTAAAAAAAAATTTTTTTTTTAGTTGTAGATGGACATAATACCTTTATTTTGCTTATTTGTTTCTGTGGTGCTGGGGACCGAACCTAGTGCCTCATGCATGCTAGGCAAGCACTCTACCACTGAAATACAATCCCAGCCCCTGACTTTATTTTTTAATACATTAGTTTTCTAGCTTTTATTTTGCACCCAGCCCACATTTTCAACAGTTATCCACTCACTCGACACGCAAGATGTGGGCAGAACCAGATGACTGTGTCTTCAGTCCAACTCTTAACATATTTCATTTTGAAAGTCACCTTTCAGTTCAGCCGAAGATTCCTACCCCCCAAAGTGCTGTCACACCAAGAACTGGAGGAGAAAGATTAGATTTTCTTCAGTGTGAAATAAAGCTGATTTTAGTTTGGCAGTCATCTGTCGATGGGAAATAAAGTCCCTCAGTTCCAAGGTCCCCTAGGCAGAGGATTCTTTGAGAGGGGGACTTGACAAGCCCTCTTATCCCATCTCATCTCTCTCATCCTCTTTTTGTCCTCAGGCTGATCACAAGAATAAAGGATCAGGCCATCTAGGGTCAGGAGAGGGTAGGAGTGGGTTACACCATCACAAGGAACACTGTTCTCCTGGGTTGGGGCTTTGTCCTCTCTGGGCTATGGCCCCTGCTCTCCGCCTTCCTCTTTTCCTTTGTCCTCTTCTCCTTCCTAAACTCCAGCCCTATATGGCCCCAGCATGGACATACCTCCAGGGTCCTGGATCATTTCCCTAACTGAAAATGACTAGACATAATCCTACATGTCAGACCTGAGCCTCCTGCCTGACTTGGTTCCAAGGTTGGCTCTGAGGGGGACAGGCTTAACTTTAAGGCCAGGGTTTGGGGGTGTTTGTTCTAATAGTCTGGGTCAAGGAGGAGACCCCTTGGTCCTGACCCCTTTCTCAGGACCTCATATATGGTCCTTGAAGTCCAGGAAGAATCCAGGAATTCTTCCTAGAAGGCACCCTCAGGAATGTGGGGGATTGAGGCGGAGACTCTTTCAAGCAATTCGGACATCAGTGACACTGGAGGAGGGCCAGGGCCCAGGCACCTGCACCAAGGGACCTGAGGCTTACTGAGGAGACCCAAGTGAGGGCCAGGAGTGAGACTGGAAGAGGGAAGGTGGCAAAAAGGCAGACCCAGCTCTGAAAAACACCTGAAGTTCAGGACCTTGGTTGATTCTGTGGGTTGGGATGGGGGACAGGGGTCTACTCACCTCTCTGCCAGCAGGAACTCCACCTCCAGCTCTTCCATGCCCTGGTGGGGGAGGGAGGAAGGCAGCTGTGAACTGTGTCTGCACATCTCTGCTGGCTAGGACCCTCTGCTGGCCCCTGCAGACCTGCCCTGTTCTCCCCACACACTGCCCTGCCACCATGGAGGGAGGGCAGCTGCTCCCAGCTCTTGTTGACCCTTCTAACTTTCTCTGACACCAAGTTTTTGAATGACAACCCATGAGAGGCTCAGGGTATGGAATGGACCCTCATGCTGCAGAACATCTCCTTTTCATCTCTACCCCCAGCTCCCACTGCTCTCCAGCCTTCACAGGGAGGCTTGGGGCTGGGGTGAGGGAACCCTGAAATAGCACCTCTGGAAAGCCCAACTCTGACAGGGAGGCCCTTCCCTCACCTATTCCTTCATGCTTCTTGTGTAACTTGAGGCAAGTCATGACCTCATTGGACCTCAGTTTCCCCCACTGGAATGCACACAGGCTGGGGACACGGATGCGTGCTCCCTGATGCGTACCCAGGGACTGGCACAGAGCTTGGCCCTCAGTAGGCACTGAGGCATTTGCTGAGTAACTGAATCTAGAACAACCTGGTTCTCTCCAGCTCTGACCTTCTCTGATTTTCAGATTTGTCCTCCTTTACTCTCCCTCACCTGTACTCTTGTCCCTTTGACATTCCAGAAAGAGGTTTCTAATGCAAGAAAAAGGTAGAGGGAAACAAACACTTATATCTTCATTTTGTAACATAAACACTGACTGCTGGGTGTCTTGATTATGTTTTTTTGTTGAAGTCTTACAACAACCCTGCACAATAATTTTATACATGAGGAAATAGAAACACAGAGGAGTTAACTGATTTTCACACAACCACATGACTAGTAAGTGATAGTGCTGAGATTTGAACCATAGTGCCCTCTTCTCCTGACTTGGCTGTGGAGCCAATGCAATGGCATCATGGGAATAAATAGCTTCCCCAGGCAGGAGCTGAGGGCCTTGGCCCATGTACCCACCTCCGGGTTGAGTGGGAACTTCACATGGGTTTTCTTGCGGAAGCAGAGCTTGGCAAGGTCATAGAGAACTGTCAAGAGATGGTCATCTGGTGTCACTGTATCTTCATCACAGACGCTCAGCTCTAGCACATTCTAGAAAAGAGAGGGTGCAAGTCTGGTCACCCTGTTTGCATTGACCCACTCCCAGGACAAGAAGCCTGACCTCATTCCTAGCATGGAAGTAGGTCTGAGGGAAGGAGGACACACACAGGTCCCTTTTCAGGTGTGAGAGACATTGGAAGAAAATGAATTAAGGAAGGAAAATATCTATTAACTGCTTTCCAACTCTGAAGCCTTGCTACTTTTCTGCTCTGACTCCTTGATAATTTTGCCCTTGTACAAGCTTAGCAGAAAGCTAGGAAGGGTTGAGGGAGCAGAGCAAGCAAGATCTCTGCCAAGATAGAGAATGCTCCCAAGCATTGAGCCCTGGGAGCAAAGATAGCCCCTTCTGTGCTAGAAAAGTCATACTAGGAAAGTAACATTTTAACACTTAGAGGAGTGGTGGAACAAGAATTATAGGGGTTCTGATGATTGGCAGAGTTGGAATGAGATTCATGAACTCCATTCTTTGGCACATCAGCCCATGGATGGTCCCAAAGCAGCAGGTTAAGAGTCAAGCAGCTACCCTGTCAAGCAACTGAACTTAATGGTCTCAAGGGACCTAACTAGTCTCTGAGTGACTAGGATCTTGTTCCTAGCATCCTGTGAGATGTGGACTGAGTTTATGTTCCTATCTGGTAGACATAAGTTGATTCTGGGGATTCTCAACTAGATGAGATATGTTGACCTTGCAATTACTAGAAAAATAAGCATATTCAGAACCAACCCCAGCCCCATACTCCTTAAATCAAAGGAAGCCTAACTTCTGATTTTAAGATGCAAACTAAGCCCACGTGGAAATCCTCTTCCCTCACCATAATAATATATATGATAGAAAAATATTTTCAAAATAATGACTATAAAGAACTTCCTGAAGGGCTGGAGTTGTAGCTCAGTGATAGAGTACTTGCCTCGCATGTGTGAGGCACTTCACCACATAGAAATAAATAAAGATACTGTGTCCACCTACAACTAAAAAAAAAAAATTTAAAAAAGATCTTTCTGAAAATCAAAAGAACTCCTTGTGAACTAGAAATGGAGAAACATCTTTGAAAAATGCAAGTAATAATCTGGAGCTACCTCAAGACTGGGGCTGATGCCTCTATGATGAGGTCAAATTTGTCTTTAGAACTCTCTGTTAAGGCTGTCACAACTTGGAGAGCTCAAGGGAGGATTCTACAGGAGATGTGAACTTGACTTACAGTCACCACATATCTGAAGACCACCACTATGAAAAAAAAAAAACTCAACAAATAAAGGAATACCTACCAAAGGAAATAGAAATAGTAAAGCAATCAGAAAAGGATTTAAGAGAGAGAAAAATGCTTTGACTGGATTAGCCTTGACCTATTTAATAGAATGGCTCTTTCCTTCTGTGAATTCTCCTGCTTCCAGCACGTTCTGGAAGGTCTTGGAAAGGCAATCTGTTTCGGAGCGAGAGACACTTAGTATCAGCAATATTTAGATAGAAGGACAAGAGAGACCAGAAAAAGGTAGAAGGATAAATAGACTAAGAGAGAGGGAAATGTGAGGTAGGCAGAAGGAAGTAGTTAGTGGGTGAGTGGAGAAGGACAAGAATAGGTAGAAATAAAAATGCTTAAGAAGGACATGTAAGAAAAGAGGAGGACAGATAGGACAAAAATGCAGGCAGGGCAGAAGGTACAGTCAGTCCTCCATATCTCACCTTCACTTGGGTCTGGATCTGGAAGTTGAAGGTTTCATTCCACTCTGGGTTTGGGCAGTTGGATATGGTCCTCGTCCTCAGCTTTTCCTGAGAGGCGGTAGGCAGCCAGAGGCTTACAAAGCAGTCTGTCTGGCTCACTGTCCAACAAAAACAAGGGTGGGAGAGAAGGGAGAGAAACCAACCCAAGTTCAGAGAGGTGAGATTGTGGAGTCAAGTCTCTTTTGGAGCAAGGTCTCCTCTCAGCTTCAGGTTCTCTCCTGACTCAGGGTCTAACTCTCCAGAGACAGTTGTCCTAGAACCCAAAGAAGGTCATAGACTGCAGGCTATAGGTCTTACAGAGGAGGCCAGGTCCCATTGACCATTCACATGGACACAGATGGCCTGAGGCAGAAGCACCTAGTCTCTGAGCAAATGTTTGTTGGTTTGAGACAAGTTATGGCTGCACAATTTTCCCTCTGTCAGGGAAAAATCTGGAAGATCAATCCCCCAAATGTCTGGTTTCCTTTTTGCCTTAGCACAAGGAAAACCAAAGTAGAGCTGAGCTTTTCTCTGACCTGGGGAGAAAAGGTAGGATGAGAAGTTGGCCAATAGGAGCCCTGGTGGACTTGGTCAGAATGAGCTATTCAGCAGGATTTTGGAGCCAGGACCACCATTTCCATATGGCTTAATACCTCAACTGCACCTAGTCAGGCTCTTCATACTTAACCTAGTCTCCCAGCATAAGGTTTATGACCCAAAAAGCCTTCTTATTTGTGGACAAGTACTTTTTTTTTTCTTCTCAGTCTCTATTTTTTTTTTTTTTTTAATTCTCTAGATAGCCCTGGAGAAGAGAAAAACGCTTTGACTGGCTCCAATAGGCCTTCAAAATGGAAGAAGGCCTTCTATATCTTCTGGGTGGAGTAGTAGAAGGGATAGATCAAAGAATAGCAGCCTAGCCTGCTTCCCTTGCTCCATTTGTCTGGGAAGGGAGGAAGAGTGTTGTGATTGCTTTTGTCATTCACCTGACAAGTCTCAGGGAACACACCAGATACATAGAAAATGGTGAAAGCCAATCAGTTTCCAGTGTCAGGAGGCCTCTGGATGGTAAAGCTGGTTACTATGGGAGTCCTATGTGGTAGAACTAATCCAAACTAGTTCATGATATTGTTATTTTTTTAATATATATATATTTTTAATTAATATTTATTTTTTAGTTTTCGGCAAACACAACATCTTTGTTTGTATGTGGTGTTGAGGATTGAACCTGGACCGCACACATGCCAGGCGAGCGTGCTACCGCTTGAGCCACATCCCCAGCCCCACGATATTGTTATTAATTGCTGATGAGAGCAGGATCGGTGCTGTCTCTCGGGGCTGATTTGGTCCCACATTATCACTATATTTGAAAGCTTTATCAGTGTCAGTAGCCACATTTTGCATCACAAGCATTCCTGGCTTCTGATTTACTCCTGATGTCTGGTTCATCTTGAGAGCTCACTGGTCAGTGAATAGGAATTCACAGCCATCCTTCAATTGAATAAAGGTGAGATGATACTCTCCTCTAGATGTCATCATAATCCTTTAATTCAGGCAGAAAGAATGACCAAACCCCCAACAGAATCAGAAGAAAATGGTGACCTCATCATTCCAGTCACCCTATGGCCAACCTGTTCCTCTCATCATCAATTCAGGTACCCTAGCCAGAAACCAAGTGTGCTCCTCAACTTTCACGCTAAATCCATTTAACTCTTCACATCTATCAAGCTCTACCCTTCCCCTCATCTGCACTGCCACTGTCTTGGTGCAGGCCACCATTGTTTCTGGGGCCACTTTCCAACTGGGCTCCCTATTTCCAGACATATCCTATGCTAATATTTTCTTCCAAGAGAAGTCAGAAGAAGCTTCTTAAATATGACCAAGCCACTCCCCAGTTAAGTTTTTTTTAATGGCTCCTATTTGTCCTCAGGAAGAAGCTCCACTTCCTTGTTCATTTCCCCAGCCTCGGCCTCATGTTTCCACCCTAACATCCCAGACCTGTCTGTGCACACACGCACTTTCATACTCTAGGCTTCAGCCAAACTCAATCACTTTTAAGTATCTAAATGTATGGTTCTGTGTCATCTTCCAGCCTTTGCAAATGACCTTGCTTCTTCCTGGAACACCCTTCTCTTCTACTTTCACCCAGCCTTCTCCTTGCTAGCTGCTTCAGGTTTCAGAAGGAACCTCCTCTGGAAACCTTCCCTGAGCATCCAAGTCTGTTCCTCTTCTGGCAGAGCATCGCGACACGGTGCTGTGACAGCAGATCCACTCATTTGTCTCCATCACATTGTGAGTTCCATGAGGGCTGGGAGGTTGTGTGTCTCCACCCTTTGGAATAAGGCTAGAATAAATGAATGAATGAAACAGCTCAACTTCCTGTTGTATCAGTATCTGAGAAATTCTGTGCTGAGTCACTGCAGATCCAGGTAAGCAGGTCAACATGTCTAATTGCTCTGCCCATAGGGAGACTCACCAGGGACCTGCTTGGCCCTCTTGGGCCCCTCTGGCTTTTCCTAGACATTGGCCCTTCCTCTTGGGCCTGGAAATAATCTTCAGGTCTGCTTCCTGTATGGTGGGAGCCAGCAGGCAGTGACTGACCAGTGCTGTACCTGGTCTGCTGAGCATTCATGACTTGAGGGCCTTCCTCCCTCTACAGTTGCTTCCTTCTTATGCCTACAGTTGAGTCCATGCCTAAAATTATCCCCTTAAATCCATTAAATAAAATCTCAGTATTTTGGCCTAAGGCTTAAATCTCTAGTTAAGACAAAAATACTCCTTGAAGAGAATAGATTGATCAGATATCCACCCTTTAAACATTAATTTGGTTTTTGGTTCTTTTGCAGAAAGTTTTTTCTCCTGCCAAATATACCAATGGTTGGAAATAAAGAGAGTACAGTGTGAGGATAAGGTAATCCTGGAGAGAGGGTGATGGAGGGGAAGATCAGCTGGGCGCGGGTGACAATTGGGCAGGCACCATTAGCTGACTCTAAGGACAGTGGCAATTGTGTTGGCCAAAAGGAATGGTAAAGCAGTGGTGATGCAATCTGAGAATTTCAGGGACTTCAGGGGACTTCCCAGGCAAAGGCAGATTCCAATTCTTGCTTCAGGTGGGGTGATAGAGGGCTTGGTCATATGAATGACTTGTCTCCTTTCCTGGCTTGTGGGTGGCAGAGATGACTCAGTTATCTTCACAGACATTCAGAACATTGTCTCCCCAGGACCTTTGGAGACATCTACCCAATGGCCCTTGGAGTGCTGATTTGGGTTTTAATTTGCTTTCCCAAGAGGAATAAAAACTCCTGATGGTGGGGAAGTTTCTAGGCCTGGCTGTCTCCCAGTCCCAGTGCTCTTCCAGGTCTCTGAAGCTGTGTGTATTCCCAGCCATTACCCTTTCTGGAATCTTGGGAAACATGGCAAACATGGTTAGAGGCCTAAATCAGAGAGCTGTTCATTTTCGATGAAAGCTAGAAGGGAACAATTTCAAGCAAGAGTGACTTAGGACTTGAAAGTCATTGGGATAGTCTCCAACCTAACCAGAGAAAGGTAGTGACATGGTTCAGTCATAACAACCATAGAATACAGACCTGACAGGCCTAGGCTGGGTACTCAGATGCCACATATGCCCTCCAGTTCCTTAGGATAATATAAACAACAAAGGGGATCCCAAAGAAGACCTCCAAAGGCAGCCTGTGTGCCAGAGGGGTGTGTGAAAAAGGGGAAGAGGAGGCTGGCAGAACCGAACCACAGCCTGCCCCACTGGGATAAGACAGAAAATAGGGCCCTGGGAATGGGAAGGTCTAGCACACAGGTGCAGGCATGCAGAATGAGACTGTGCAGCCAGGGTGACTGGAGGGGCTGGGACAGACACACCTCAGGAGAAGCCACAGGAAGGCAAGTCACTGCTGTGGGTATGTGGAAATGGGGCTATCCCTGAGGGAGGGTGACCTCTGCCCAAGAAGGAGTAAAGTAAGTGAACGATCCACTTTAATGGCATGGGCCAGGGGACACTTTCTGGCTCCATAGATTACCTACTGATGGGCTGGGAAAGCCCCAAGAAGCCCTAGGAGAGGTCCCTGGCCTTCTGGCAGGCCACTTGGCAGACTCGGGCCTACGCTTGAGCCTAGCTGGAACTGCTCCTGCTGACACTGCACCCTCCAGAGGCTTAGTCTGAATCCTCTTTGCTATCTCTGGGGCTGCAGGTGTCTCCCTCCTCCCTCCTCCACCCACATCCCTGCATTTCAGGTTCTCAACCTCTCCTACCTGTACTCCAGCATCATCTGCATATGATCTCTCAGGGAGTCATGCAATCTCTTCTGCAAAACTCAGGCACCTCATCACTTCTTCTGCCTGGCTTCTGGGCCTCCAGCCTCCCTCTCATTTCCTCCCCAGCTCTCCAGCCCTAGGATCAAATGCCATTTCTACCTTAAGCTATCATTAATTCTCACTGGCAAAATGGCATCCCAGGACTACTACTCAGGTTGTTGGGAGGATCAAATGGTGTATGGGCATCCTGGCAGATGCTCAGGAAACAGGACCCTCCCTCAGGGCAGCCTCTCCACCTGCCAGGCTCCTACATCTCTGGATGCTTACATCTAGGCCCTTTCATGACGCTTCCAGTCTCAGAGCTTTCTCTCCTAGGGTGAGTGAGTGGGGCAAGCTTCCTCTCTGGATGAGACAAGGTGAGAGCAACATGGGAAGGGGCTGGTCTCCTGGAAAGCCCCCCCCAAAATGGGTGCAGGAAGTATCCTGCCCTCTCAGATGCCTTTGTATCTTCCTGAGACAGAGGACTCCCTGGGAGCTCATGGCCTGGGATGCAGTAAGAACCAGGATGAAGGGGAAGTGAAGCTTCCAGGAAACACTACCATCCCTGGTAAGTTAGATCATATCCAGAACAGTCCCACAAGCAGAGAAGTAGTGGGGGAGAGAAGGATACTCACCCAAATCAGCCCGCCGGACATTTTTCATCCGGATGACCCTCACTGTCAACAGGTGGCATGGAGACAGCCCGTCCTACAGATTGAGAGGACAGTGGCCTCATTATTCAAGCATCACCCCATGTCCAGTGCCCCTGGGTGACTTTCCCACCATGCCTTCCTGTCCCCCAGCCCACTTGCATTACAATAGCCTCCATGCTGTTTTGTCGATGTTTGATTAGTATCTGTCTTTTCTCAGGTTCTGAAAGCTCCTAGATCCTAGAACCCTGTCTGGGTTTTCATCTTTGTGGCTCCAGTACTTGCAATATGTTGATATATCGAAGGTGCTCAATAAATGTTTGTTAGATGGGTGAATGAATGAACGAATATTCTGGCCCCAAACACACAAGGAACAGTATAGCAAGGAAGTCCTGATGTGTTTCCATGCTCCTTCATTGAATAACTTCTTATTCCCACCCCACACAGAGAAAAATTTCCCTTGCTTAGGACAAAGCTTAGTTAGGAGGATGCACGGTGTAACTGGGAGGGATGATAGACTGGCCACTTCCAGACACCTCCTGGGAATCCCCAGGCTAGGTGCCCACCACCATCCTGATGCTTCACTCTAGTCCAGAGTATTTGCATCTCCCTTTCCCCTCAGCCCCCCACCACCACTCAGAGCATCTTCCCACAAATCTTTCTGGTCATTGTATCTCTTCCTCCCAGTAAATAACTGTCTCTTTCTTCTTTGCCGTGTCTTACCATTAACACTTGTGTTTTGGCTGATTTTATTATGGCAAAACTGTCTTTGATATGGCAAAAGTTCAAGTAATCCTTGATTTGATGACAGATGTCTGCCAGATGCCTCTGTAGGTATCACTAACCCCAGGGGCCTGCTTCAGACCAATGGCTGGGAGTGTAGACACACCCTGAGCCCTGCTCATTTGGAGTTGATGTGTCTCCTATTCCACTTCTCTTTTCCTGATCATTTTCAGGGAGTTCTGCCATCATCTCAAGCCATAAGCCAGTAATGGTGGCAAAGGGTGTGGCTCCCTAGTCCTGCCCACCTCCATCCCCAGGCTCCTACATCTTTGCCCTCTGTGAATGACACAACAGCCCCAGGTCCACTTTTGTCCTCAGGCTCTGTTACTTTCTGCTTCTTAGATGCCCTGAAACCACCTCTGCCAGCTTCACTAGTTTCTCTTTATCCTGTAACTGCAAAGTGTCCTTGAATCATTTTTTCTGCCTACAAAACCACAGTTGTCCTCTCCCTTCAGTCCTCCTCTGCCTATGACTCCCTGCCCCAGGTTTCAAAGCCGTGTTTATTAAGCTTCTGTAATGGGGAGCTTCCAGAGCTCAGGGCCACATGCTCTCACTGACACAATTCCCTGCCTCTGTTGCACTTGGGGTGTCCCTTCCAATTGTTTCTCTGCAAGAACGAATCATTTTCTCAATCTTTGACTTCCAGGTATTAGTTTTGAGTACCCACTGTGGGTCAGGCCCTGCGTTAGAGGCTGAGAGGCTGAGAGTGAAGGGCAAGGACAGCAGGTGCTTGAGCAGGTCAAGCTGGCCATAGGCTCCTGCTGCCAAGGCTTGTGATCTTCTTGGTTCCAGAAGCCTCCCCACAGTCCATCACGTTTCTGGACTTGGGAAGACTCTTCTGGTCTCCCAAGGCCTGAGGCTGCTAAGGCGAGATGTTTTCTTCCTCACCCGGCTCTGAACCAGCATACCAAGGAAGCTTCCTGCTTGTTCCCTCAGGTCCCAGTTCTTTGCAGTTCATGCATTTCCTGCTTGAACCTCAGACTTGAATTTTCCTGAGAGTTTTATCCAGGCTAAGACCAGTGTCTCCTACTCCCCACTTCAGAGCCCACAGCAAACACCCCTGAATCCTGACTCCTCCAGCCTACCAATGTCTGCTTGTAGAGGGCCCTGTAATAGAACCCAGGGCTTATCGCCCAGCATATACTCTTCTGTGCAGCTAGAACCACATTGTGCCTGTTTTAGAGGATGCAATTCTCTCTCCTTAAATAGTACTGAGGTTTGTGGGAAAAACAAAGTTTGAAGAAAACAAGTGTTCCCAGCCAGGTATGGTAGTGCACACCTATAATCCCAGCTACTCAGGAGGCCACTTGCAGGAGGATTGCAAATTCAAGTCCAACCTAGGCAAATTACTGAGACCCTGACTTAAATAAAAAAATAAAAGGGGCTAGGGATGTAGCTCAGTGGTAAAGTGCCCATGGGTCAGTCCCCAGTACTCCTCGATACGCACACATGCAGAGTTCCCATAGTCATACCACTCAGAGACAATCAGCAGTATTACTTTGCTGTCTGTCCTTCCATCAGCAGTATTACTTTGCTATCTGTCCTTCCAAACTTTTCTGGGGCTTAATTCTTAGGTTTCAGTGCTGGAGATTGAACCCAGGGCCTTACACATGCTAAGCAAGTGCTCTGCTCTGCGCCACATCCCCAGACCTCTGGTGCTTAATTCTAACCAGCAACAAGAGAATGATGATTCTGGGAAAGCCAAGTTATTTAGATCCTGACGTAGACATGTAATTTCAGGGTCTCTTCCTCTCCTCGCCTCTCCCCAACAGCTGCTTCAAAACAAAAAGTCAAATTGACAGTCACACATAAGTCCAAGGATTCCTCTTGTGAATTAACTCTGAAATATTGTCTATTCATGAAGAATAACCTGCTCTATCAGCTTTCTGTTATGAGCATCCTGACTTGAGCCAAAACTCAATCACACTGCCTCTCTTCTTGTTCTGGAAACACATGAGCTCTCTGAGTACTGTGGGCTCCTCATTTCTCACTCCCTCCTGGGCAGAGTGGGTCCTGGTCTGGCTTGGTGAGGAGGCAGGAGTTGACTTGCAGCAGGAGTGTGATCCTGGCAAGTCTGGTCCCATCGGCTGCTTTTTCAGAGGGCACCTGGAGTCCCGGTGGGAAGCTGCGAAGGTCTCACCCCAGCAGGGTCAGTCCTTGACATTGCAGGACTCTGAACACAAGGCCCACAGCCCTTTCAACCATAACAGCCCTTCTCCTGCTGCCAGGAGGGGCTGCTGGTGGCCCAACCTGGCTCCTTGTCTGTTCTAGGGGAGAAAGAGAATCTACCGCTTCTCTAGGGACCTCACCCAAAGTCTCCTGCCTTCTAGGAAACATTCTTGCCTATTATCTGCCAATGAAGTCAACCATTTTGTCCTACTCTAACTCTGCAACAATAATAGCGATGTGAGTGGCCATCTGTTGAGGGTCTACCACATGCCACATGCCGTGCACTTATTCTGTATAGACAATCTTGCCTAATCCTTACAATCACCCTTTGGAGCAGTTCTGACTAGCCTCACTTTACAGATGGAGAATCTGGGACTAAGCCCTTTGACATAGAGCTAGAATCAGAGGAACTTCGACTTCGAATACAACTCCAACCCTCAAGGCTGTGTTCAGGACCACTGCTATACTCTCACCTTACTGAAAGTGGTCCTTGGTGATCATAAAGCAGATGCTGCTTGTGTTCATCTCCTCTCCTTGGTCTTCTTCTCTCAGAACCAATTTTTCTAACAGATTACTATTTACCATGAATCCTCCCCAAAGCCCCCAAATAACCCCCAAACTTGGAAGTCCATCCACTGGCTGTGTTTTAACTAACATTTCTATTGATGTGTTCCATGAACATTCCCTTTTGGTGAACATCTAGAGCACATCACAACTATCAGAGTCCTTAGAGAAGTTACCATTTTTTAGTAGGTACAGAGGACTCCTCAGTGGTCTCCTTGCCCCTCGGATCACACCTTCTAGTTCAGGAATTTTCAGGAGAGACCCAATTTCAAAATACTCCAAAAAGTGCCCTTACTTTTCGCCAGCTACAGATAGAGCCTACAAGGAGTTTGAGAGACACTGCAGAGGGACCATGGTAGTATGTATGCAAGGACTATGGGACTTGAGTCTGGGTCCAAGTGAATTCCAGGAACTGGGCCTATGTAAAATGACCTTGGATTGAAAAGAATGTACATAGTTTGTTCCTGATAAAACAACTCAACAGGATTGGTGTTTGAGGTGACCAAAAATTCATGGCCCCAGAAGTAATTGATCTATAGTAGTAAGATGCAAAAGAATACAGCCTGGTGTCTATGAATATGCAGATGGAAACCAGAAACCAGTGGAAAACAAGGTTATGGAGTCATTTGTGGTGTAGTAAAACTTTAGGGATTTGGATAAGTCCATCCCAGAAAGAGAATTGGGTATCCAGGTGAAAGTAAAACTTTTTAATAATAAGCATGGTCAAGCACCAGGCTGCTGAGCTGCAGCTTTGGGTTAGGGATGGACAAAATCCTCAGTACACGGGGCATGGGAAAGACCCTGGGATGAGGATCAGGGAACACCAGGGGCTTGTAGGTCAAGGCAGGGACTATTTAGCAAGCAGCAGAGAGGTTGTATTCAGCCACTTGAACTGGTACATTGCGCCAGGAAAGACAGGCCTTAGTTTCTGGAGGCCAGAAACCCCAGCCTTATTCCTGGTCTTGACCTCTAGGGTTGATCTTGCCAGGACTCTACTTCCCCTTGAGACCTAGTCAGGACGGGGGACCTTGCTAGCTCATACGGAAAGGAGCTGAATCTCAGGATTGGTTATTACATTCCAACACAGCCCCTTCCCGCCCTAATTTTATAGATATGACTTTTGGTGGGGGTGGAGAACAAAATGTATTACCCTCCCCTGGAGGCCCAACCCTCTAGCTAGCCTCCTAAGATGGTGTTATTATCCCTGTTTCATGGAGGAAAAGCCTGAGGTTAGAGAGATTATATCTCACACAGACTCACACTGTCTACAGGTGGTAGAGCCAGGACCCAGAACCCAAGTGCACGTCTATCTGCCTTTCTGGTACACTTTCCATTTACCTGGAGGTTGGGTCTCACGATGCATGAGCAACACTGGCCAAGAACCTGTGCCAGGTCATATATTGGGCTAGTGATTGGCAGAGGCTGGAATAAAACCTCAGCCTTAAATTGGAGCTCTCTCTATACCCAAGGGTCCAGCTGTTACCACAAATCAGTCAAAAGAATATTTAGTTACAGATGGTCTTCTAGGTAGAGGGAGGATGA